CACACACACACACACAGAGATTAGAATTATGTAACCAAGTCTTAGAAAATAGGAATATTCCACATTTGTTTAGAAAATCGTACCTGGAATTAACAACAAGTCTTTATAAAGAACCTTCAAATATAATATTAAGATATGATTTCATGGTGTATATCATATCTTTTATATCATTATATAATACATACAATCAAATGGCTGTACAGTGAGATCAAAATCAGCACTGGAAATACCCTAAGCTGACAACTCATATCACATTTAGTTATCTATTTTTGCAAAAAATAAATGATGAAAAATAATGTCAACGTGATTTTCAATCATTGTAAATGTTTTTTATTACACAAAAATTATTTTGAGAAAATATCAGAAATGCCTTTTTTTATTTTCCTTCCTTCCTAAGAACCTTTTAGCACTTTCTGTCAAGTCTACTGACTTTATGGGCAGACCTTAACTCCTCTCCCTTGAAGAGGGTTGCCAATATCTCTCAGTGAATGTGCTCTCATGTGGCTGTGGCTCTCTGTACTGTACTCAGTGGGTTGAGGAGAACAGCAGCGTGTTCAGCTGATCAATTGTCAGCCAGGACAGAAACATCAATGAGCTGTGAATGTGTGTACCAACATTAAGCCCTCATTTTTAGAGAAACTCCTTCTCTTCGGTTTTTCTTCTAAATGAAATAGACTTTATTTTAGTGTCTGGATCCTTCTAATTCATGATATTTCAGTTCCACAGTTTATACATCAGCCTTCATAAAACGTTTCTTAAACTAGAGGTACATTTAGATGCATATTTATGACTTGGCAGCAGTTAGAAAGTTAGAATCTCAAGTTAGTTCATCTTGACTTTGGTCACATTATGATTTCACAAATATGTAAATGAGCATGTGATGTAATCTAAAAAACTAGCTAGACAGTGTTTTGGTGGTGAAGAGTAAGGACCGAAGCATGCTCAGTATGCCCAACAACAAATTTAAAATAACATCATTATTATTATTATTATTATTATTATTATTATTATTATTATTTAACATTTATCAGTATAACATGTAATCTTTAGGAAGTGTATCTCCAAGACGGATCAATTCTTTCTTATTCTTCAATTAATGCCAAATTGAGTATGAATAATTATGTAAATGTTTCACCAAAGTAGCACAAAACTCATGTTTAAAAAGCTTTTGTTTTCTGAAACGAGATTGCACCTTCATTCCTCATCTCATAAGATTGCTTTTCAGAAAAGTACTGTTAATAGGAAAACTGTAAATTAACTTCTGTCAGATCTGCTGTTCTCCTCAGCGTGCTCAAAATGTCTGTACATGTAATTATTACCCTTTCAGACCTCAACTTCACTCACACATGAATGGCAATTTACAAAATCCTATTGCTGTGACACATAAGAAATTGGAGCTGCTGTCCCTTGAGAAAAAAACAAAAACAATAATGAGTAATGGGGTGAGGGAAGTAAGATTATGTGTGTCTTCTCAACAAATGCTTAATGACAATGGTAATGTATTAAAGACGTGTATGTAATGTCTCATGCATAAGTCCTCAGAATTGAACTGAGAGACCACTAAACAGAAACAAATGAATAATCCTATTAAAGATATCTATTCTTGTTAACTACATCATTTAATTACTTATTAAACAAAAAAACTTACAAAACCTTTGAAGTTTCCATATATCAGATGAAAATCATTTCACGATAGAAGAAAATCTGATTAGCTCTTATTGTACATCACGTTGGCAGATGATGCATATTGATAGCCAGCGCTAAATTCACTGTTTAATTCTAATTTTACAGGGGGTTTTTTGTCTGTTGCTGCTGGCTATGGTTATATTAGGAATTTTACTCTGGACCTGGGGAAACTGTTTTTTTTTTAAAAACTTTTTAAAACTTTTTAGTTTATCAGTAGCACTTTACTCACTATAGTGTTTTTCTATTGACCGACAGTGGAGCCCTCTTCAGACATGTGTAACACCTTCTGCGTTTTATGTTAAAGGACTTTGTCATTCAGACATATATCATATCAATGAATGAACCACAGATGGACTTTTATTTTGCCATTTGAAGCGTTAATGTATGACCATTGTCAACATCATTTACCCACATGCTATCAGTATGGTGACACTTATAATATTTTCATTATAATACAAAAGAGATTAAATCTGTTAGTCAGCGAGATTTAGAGAAGTTTTGAATTTTGGAAAGAGTCAGGCTAGCTGTTTCTCCTGCTTCCAGTATTATGCTAAACTAATTGCTTTCCAGCTCTAGCTTTTTCTTAGCTTTTCAGCTAAGAAACGTGACATACGAGAAGTCTTTTCTTTTCTTTCATTGGAAGAGCTGGAAAAGGTCATTCATACTTTGATCTCCACCATGTTAGATTAATGCAGCTTGCAGTAACTCACTCAGGTCTCAGCAGGAGAAACACCTTCAAAGCAAAAGGATTTGATTTTAAAATTTGAATGCAGGTTTTTGAAAACACTGCTTGGACTCCTACTTATACTATATCTGTGATTTTCCAAACTAACTATAATTCTTAATTGGTATCCTCTGGTAGAGTTTGACTTTTGGATCTCAAATATGCAAATTCAGGGTCCTCTTTTAAATCCTTCCTTAAAACATTCTTATCTTTGGCATTCTCTCTTATTGCAATGCATCTGTTACTGTTTTATACTAAAAGCATTTAAAAAAAAAAAAAAAATCGTTTATCGTTATTTTTTCATTTCATTACTGAGTTTAATTCATTCAAATCTAACAGATAGCGATAGAAATAATAAATAATAAATAGGTAGGTAGGAGGTAACATTACCAGAACCACAACGGGGTCATGCAGAGGTCCATCAGTGTGCAGCGTCTCCATGTCTTCTTCGATGATGTAGTGCCACTCCACACCCAAGTCAATGAAGCTTCTGGTCTTGACCTCCTCTCCTTTTCCATTGAGAATGTAATGCCCCGTTGCCTGGTTCTTGATTGCTGTAATCAGTAATTTGTTAAGAGCCGCTGACAAAGTTGAAATGGCTTTAGTCTATCAATTACAAGTTATCAAGTTCTGAATTACTGATAGAGAAAGAAAGCTGAAATCGTGGGGTGATTCATAGTCTTGCCCGTGGCAGTTATTTGGAATGATTATGCCTGAACATTACGACGTCTGATTCAGTCTCTAATTCATACAAAACAAGCTGCCAAACTGCTAATATAATGAAACCTGTCAACAGTTAGAGGCTGAAATGAAAATGGGCATGTTTAACAGCCACTTTAAATACATCAGATGCATATAAATGCACCCGTGTTGCTAGTTAGTTGCTACAATCACCCACATCGCATGTCCCTGCTACAGACCATTTCCTCTGGCTCTCCAGTCTTACACTTACACCAGCATTATGCTGAGTGATAGCAAGGAGCAAAAAGAAGTAAAAAGTCAGCTGTGTTTTTATTTGATGTCCCGTAGTTAATTCAAAAGCAAACATGACTCAAATTGGTGAATTGTAGATAATGGCTACATTAGTTAACATAATTAGAATAGAACAATTTACTGCATCAAGTTCTCTAGAGGTGAGCTGTATCTTGTATGATGAGTGAACAAATTTAACATTAAAGTGTTAGCCTGGAGAAGCAGAGCATAGGATTTTGACGAGTGAGGCCATCAAATGTAACAAAAACTTGCTGTTTTCTTTTAAAACCTACGCTCTAACTTAAGTTTTTAGATTCAAATACATTCTGATTATTTACTCAGTGCTGTCAAGAGTATATATGAAATATTGTCACACTGACAGAAAATAAGAATTAATAGCAGGAAACCTTGAAAGGTAAGCATGTCAGAAAAATCTTCACAGTGATCCATCAACACATGTCATTTCACAGAATAATGACAGTGACAGGAAGGATGGATGCTGTTTACAAAACTACAGCAGAGGAATAGTTCTGAAGCTAAAACTGACAAGCTTTTTTTCAAAAAGACAATCAAAAAGTTTTAATAAAACTTATTTAATTTGTGATAAGTTTTATAACTTTTGTTCTTCTTTGTGTGTCTACTTTATAAAAACAGCTTCTGCAATGGAGATTTTCTTATTCCAGAGCTACAGGGTTGGATCAAAATAAAGGCAATCACTTCCTACAGACATTTCTCAGTGAATGATGGAGGCTATTTCGTCTGGCACAGACCTATTTTCTCCTGAAGCACAGAGCCAATATTCTGCAGTAGCCACTACCATTCACACTGACCACTCGCTGGGCCTTTCAGCTTTAAGAAAGGCAGGAAACTGCTCCATCACAGCTGGTTCGAGAAAGTGAAGAAAGAGAAAGACGGCTGTTTATTACTTTTTTCACAATCGTACCTCATCCTTGCTTATTATTTTATTCATGGCAACAAAAGTCCCCTAACCTAATGTAGTAATTTAAAGGCAAATTACAATATTAACTAACAAAGTCCTTATTTTAACCCAAACCAAGGATCATTTAAGACATTGTTGGTTTTGGTCTTATTGTAATAGCTTTTGAAAAAAGGAAAAATACAGAATAACACCAGCTTTATCCTTTAACCTCCCAGACCAGTACTGTCTGTGTAAATGAAGGCCTGCTGTACCCAAGGGGCTTGAATCTCCACTGATGAGATGTCTGTTGCTACATTATTCGGGTAATGCAGTTCAGTTTTATGAAACAGCTTAAGTTAATAGGCATCGACCTCTTACCATGACTCAGCTGGTAAAAGAAGTTGATGAGACTGTTTCGAAAGGTCAATCTTGTTTTTAAAAAGTAATTAAGTTTTTACTAACAGTAAAAATTCAATCTATGTGTGAGGTTGCTACTATTACTTGCAATTTTCTTCCATGAAGATGAAAACCTAGTAGTTTGTATAGAAAGCAAATAGTTTATTGATGGATAGTGTGAGACAACAGCCTTTTAAGTCAACTTAATTGCTTAAATGGCCCATATGCATTTCCTTTACAGATCTGTCACAAACAGCTCAAAGTTATAAATCTGCCTGCACAAAAGGACAAATATGCCAAACATTCCTGATTTTAGTCCCATTTGCAGTCGCATGCGTATCAATACATGCATACCTAAAATAACTCAAATAAAGATATTATAAATAAACCTTTTTCTTTCTTTTGTAATCCTCCTTCTCATCATGACATAAAAATCAGTGTTGCTTCAGTACATGTCAAAACACCCTAGAATTACCTGCTTGAACATCGGTGATTGAGTCTGATTGGGGATTGAGCTGGAATACTTCCTCCTGTCTATCAAAAATTTTACCCCAGTCAGGGGGAGACAAATTAGGGGTAATGACCAATTATTCTGAGCCTCTGAAGGCATAATTTTTCATCGTGTTCAGCAGGGGTCAACACCTTGTGATAAGGCTTTGAAACTCATTACACTGAACCTAAATTTGATTTATTGCATGTGTAAAAAAAAAAAAGACAAAAGAAATGTGATTGTCACTATATCTCGGCAGTTAATGAACAAAGGTGTGACAAAGAGGAGGAAGACGCAACAGTTTTAATATCAGATAATAATCCCAAAGCAGGAAATAAAAAGACAATCTCCATGGCTCACTTCATACATCACTCCCATGCATGCAAAATAGAAATTGATTGTTTCTTTTTTTACTGACATAAAGGATGCTTTCTGATTCCCCAATCAATTTCACAACAGTTAGCGTCCCCTAAAGCAAATTTGTGATTTTGGGCTTCATAAATAAATACTCAGAAAGGGTAAAAACTATCTTACTCCAAAGCAGGACTTTCTAATACATATGTGACGAAGAAGTTCTCTTGAGAAATATACAATTAAGTGTTTGTTAAACCCTTTCCCTGAACAGCGGCCCTCCGATATTATTGGCCAATATTCACTAAAAAATGTAATATCGGGAATTATCGGTATCTGGTTTTTATAACCGATGTTTG